GCAATCATCCTTCTCCAGGGAATAGTCTCTTCTGACAACATGACCAAAGTAGGTTGGACAAAGTCTGGCTATTCTCGCTCCAAGGACATTCAGGGGTGGTTTTATATCTTCTTTTCTTGAAACATTGAAGGGCTATTTTATTATTTTTATGCTTAGGATTGTTGTTTCTGCAACTGCAATCTGGCAGTCTTCATGTTTATTATTCACTTGTGGTAAGTATATCTTGGAATTTTTATTTGAGTACATACCATGTCACATCTGTTAGGCTATTGGGTACCTTTCTCCATTACTCAACTGCCTCCTTGCTCTTGGAACACAAACTAATTTTAATGTTAGACTGCAAAAACTGTAATTAAGGAAACTGAGTTCTATAATCAATATGTATTGAACTCTGACTAGAGGCTCAACATAAGTTAAATATGAGATGGCACCAAAGCTACAGATAAGAAATATTGTTATAGTTCATTCCAAAGCCAAACAGACACTGTTTGACACTGAGCTAGATGTTTTTGGAATCTAAGGAGAGTACCATTGCTCCCAAATGCCCTATGGAAATGCAGTAGATGATTGAATCTGAGCATTAAAAAAAGTCAAATAATCCACATGACTTTATGCCAACATTAAATGAAGGCAGAGTGGTAGAAGCACACAGCCCGTCCAGTGTGCTTCCAGTGTGTGACTTTCAGCAAGTGACCTCACATTTCAGTGCCTTACCTAAATAATTTCATGAATACACTTACATATTATTTTAGATGATTTATTATTCCCAGATACCTCAGATCATCAAACACTCACTGCTGTCGAGTTGGATTGGACTCATAGTGACCCCTCCCTGAGGCTGTATCACTATGGAAGTAGATTGCCCTGTCTTCCCTCTGAGGAGTGGCTGGTGGGTTTGAACCTTCAGCCTTCTGGTCAGCAGTGAAATGCTTTAGGCATTATGCCATCAGAGCCCTACCTCAGATCCTAGCCAGCTAAAAAACCAAATTCACTGTCCTCAAGTTGATTCTGACTTACAGTGACCCCCATTGGGTTTCCAATGCTGTAAGTCTTTATGGAAGCAGACTGCCTCATCTGCCTCCCATGGAGTGGCTGGTGGGTTCTAACTGCCAGCCTTGTAGTTAGCAGCCAGATGCTTTAAACACTGCACCACCAGAGTGCCTTTCCTGAGTTTAGGATAGCAGTTTAGCCTCTGTTCCTGGAATATAGGTGGGGCCAAAAGAGTTGTCATCTGGGACGGTTGGGGAGGAAAGTAGTAAATCTAAGGTCACATTTCAAAGGTGTATATAAATCTGAACGTTTTGTCATATGAAGGAGGCACCTGACCAATATTTCCTCAGCCTAGCTGGAAATGACTTGTTCTGATAAGCGTATAATGAGTTTTCAGAGTTGAAAATTAATCTAAAATCTTACAGGTCTAGCATGGACTGGAATTAGTTTGCAAAAACTGCCATGAAGAGGTAAAAAAATTAAAAACATTACATTGATTAAATAAGTTATGGAATGGCCAGTGAGTGGACTGCCAAATTGAAGTAACTCTGTGTTAATATTATCAAAGATACATTAAGTGAAAACAAAGCAAATTGAAAAAGAATATGAAAAATTTTATTCTGCATGTGTGTGTAACGTTGCCTCCCTCTGAAAGAGTGTTAAGTGGTACATTAACAGGCTCTGAGTCCATTAAAATCTAAAGCCTGTTTTTTTTTTTTTTTTTTTTTTTTTACAAAGTATTACTATAATGGCACAGATAAGCAAAGAGAAAGCCTGTAAACAAAATTAATGGTTCAGTTCAAACAGTATTAAGAACCAACCACCTAAATGCAGGCTGTGTTCCAGATGCCTGGGACAAGTCAGACAAAGGTCCCTGACCCCTTGGAGCTCACCTTGTGGTACATTTCCATGATCAATCATTGTATAGAAATTTAAAATAAAATTATATATGTATACTTCTTATCATCCAGGGGTGGTGATAAACCAGAAGAATAAAGCATGCACATATAACCTAGAGAAAGAAAATGAGTTTTAGAAGATGTTTGCTGGAGTGATCTTCAGCTAACCTTTGATGTTATGTAAATTCCCTCATGCTCAGTTTCCTTATCTATAAAATTAGACTACTAATAATATATTTGCAGATGATTGTGAAGATTAGAGAGAAAATATATAAGTCATGAACAATAAAAGCTTTTACTGCTAGTACTACTTTTGCATTCCTCATGCAGCATAATATACTATATACATAACAGATGTTCAAAGAGCATTTCTTGAGTGTA